GCTGACCCGAGGACCCTGCAGGAACTGGAAGCGCTCCCTGGGGTCCCAGTAGCAAAGCTGGACAGAGGGATAAGCCAGGAAGAGCTGGGAGGCAGGTGCCCCCCTACGTCCTCTGGAAGCAATGGTCCTTCCCTGCCTTCCTCAGCGGCCTGGCCACTACACCTTCTGCCATGGCAGTGCCTTGGTGGCCCTGCCAAACCCTGTGCCTCCCGCCGTGGCAGCGCTGCCCCTCGGTGGCCCTGCCAGCCCTGCACCATCTGTGGTGGCCAGCTCAAGCTCCTCAAGCAGCACCATGTCTTGGGGGCTCCAGGAAGGGGTCCTACCATGGGCAGGGCCAGCCTGTCCCCCAACCCATATCCGTGGGACATCCGTGGGAGATGCACTTTGCCCTTCTTGTTCTGGGCTTTGGCTCCGTGGCCACTTTTTGTATCTTCCCGTGTTGTATCCGGGCACGGAGGCTGGCTCCAGGTTGACAGTGGCACTCTCTAACCTGACCTTTGTAGAGGAAGCGCGGCACTAATCCCCACAATTAACTTCATCCTAAGCAAAATGAAATAAAGGCCTTGACCCGCCACGGCTATGGCCACGCCACGTGGCCGCCCTTATTTTCAAAATACTCGTTGCCTTCAGCTTGACTGTTTAACTCCGTGTCCCTCCTTTTGTGGGTGATGACTGAAGTTGGAATGAAAAAGCAAGCGCTGACCCATTGGAGCAGCTGGAGGTGGCCTCAGCCTCGCAGCCCTGTTCTGTGGCATCTTAGGACCCTAATTCCAGGGAAAAGTCCTTTGTAGCTCCACTGGGGTGGGTCTCATGCCCAGGCAATAACTCTTGGAAGGCTTTATCAAAACAGGGTCAGGAAAAGTTGTATGGAATGGGAAAAAACCCTGCACAGACTGAATGTTCTCGGAGACACACGTATTTTCTGTAATTGTGCCCAAATTTGTAACAGACAGTTAGTAAATCTCTTTGCTATTAAAATGGCCATTTTTAGAGCAGAAGCACCAGAGAGAGAAGAGCCCAGCGTACCTGAGTAGAGATTGTCCTGAGTTCTTAGGAGAGAAGGAATGAAGAGCACCGTGAAGTAGACCAAGATGGTGAGACAGCAGCACCCTCCAGCTCAGAGGATGAGGCAGAGGTCAGCAGGTCGATGCACAAGCAGGAGCAGGGTAAAACCATCCTCGGGAGCATCTGTTGTTTCAGCTGCCACCACCTCGCCAGCCCCTCAACAGCCTCTCCAGCTGCTGGTGCTTTAGCTTTGCCCATGAGCATTTTGAGTATCTCCAAGGAGATTCCACCACCTCTCCAGGCAAGCTGCACCAAGGCTTGTCACTCTCCTGGGGAAGAGGGGTTTCCTGATGTCCAGCGGGAAGCTCCGGTGGTTTCAGCTTGTGCCTGTGGCCTCTGGTCCTGTCGCTGGACCTCATGGAGAGGATCCCGGCACCATTCTCTTTGCACGCTCTCTTCGGGTGTTCATGGATGAAGTTCTCCAGGCTGAACGGTCCCAGCTTGCTCAGCCTTTCCTCACAGGGGAGATGCCTTAGTCCCTTCATCTCTGAGGTTCTTTGTTGGACCCTCTTCATCGCTGCTGTACTGGGATCCACTACTCCACGCTGGCACCGTACTGAACAAAGCCCGGGACGTCATTTCCCCAAGCGATAGGAAAAGAGGAAACGGCCTCAAGTTGCACCAGGGGAGGTTTAGATGGGATATCAGGGAAAATTTCTTCAGCGGAAGGGCTGTCAGGCATTGGAACGGGCTGCCCAGGGAGGGGGGAGTCACCCTCCTGGGAGGGATTCAAGAGACGTGGGTATGGTGCTGAAGGACAGGGTTTAGTGATGGTAGCAGCAGAGTTGGGTTACTGGTTGGGCTTGGAGATCATAAAGGTCGTTTCCAGCCTAAAAGATTTGATGATTCTGTGATTTTCTGCCACAAGGAAACAACAACTCAGTGTTGAGGTCCAAATGCTCAGCAAAGACATAGACTCACAGAGCAGTTTGCGTTGGAAGGGACCTTAAAGCCCATCCAGTTCCAACCCCCCTGCCATGGGCAGGGACACCTTCCACTAGACCAGGTTGCTCCAAGCCTCATCCAGCCTGGCCTTGGACACTTCCAGGGATGGGGCATCCCCAGCTTCTCTGGGCAACCTGTTCCAGTGCTCCCCACCCTCTCCAGGAAGGATTTCTTCCTGATATCTAATCTAAACCTCCCCACTTTCAATTTAAACCTGTTACCCCTTGTCCTGTCACTCCCTGCCCTTGGAAAAAGTCCCCCCCAGCTTTCTTATACCACCCCCCCCCGGCACTGGAAGGGGCTCCAAGGTCTCCTCTGAGCCAGGTTTTGGTGTCCTGTCAGTGAATCTGGGCAACCCAGTTCATAGCATCGACTCCCATAACACCTTCCCACTGCCATGACAGAATGTGCTTAATGGCAGAGAACCCCCCCAGGTTGCAAATTTAACTTAAGGAACACAAGTTCCCACTCCGAGACCCTAATCCTTACTGCAAGTCAAAGCAGAAAAATCCAAAAGTGCTTATTTTTTCCCTTTTGGCCCTGCCTTTGGCACAGATGTCAGAAGTGGACGCAAAGATGGGATGTTAAGTGCTAAAAGTGAGGTTAAAACACCCAATCACGTAGCAATAGTGCAGACTTTGGAAAAAAAAAAAGGGGGACAGCATAAATGGGCTCACATGCTGTTCCTCTGCTCCACCTTCCTTCCAGTTTTGTTCTGACAAAAACATCTATTTTTTAAGCATATTTGCAGCTCGGGACGTCCAGTTCATCTCATTCCAGAGTATTTGTGCTGGATAAGGGAAGCGCAGACGATTCCAGGACCCAGCTTTAGGTGTGGGGTCACATCCCAGGCCTCGTGAAAAACCCTCGTCCCGGCCCTTAACCATGCTGGCACAGCTCACACCTCCTGGTTTTCTCACTCCACCAGCCCACGTGAGGGTGAGGCTGCGGTTCTCTTGTGCTCTTTGCAAACCCGAGGATAACTGCTCATGCTTAGGTGCCGGTCCTCAGCTTTGGAGGGAAGGGAGAAAAGGGTGTTGGGGAGGAGTCGGAGCTGCAGAGTGCCTGGGTGGGTAAGGAGGATGGAAAGGGAAGTATGGAAACCAGAATGAGTTTGAATGTAAATAATTCAGAGTCCAAGTTTTCCGGAAGTACAAACTATCGCCCGTTAAGGCCAGGCGCAGGATCTAACAAACCCAGACAGGCTGACACGGATAGCTTGATACCAGACACCGCAAGAGGTAAGAAGAGGCAGAATTGCAAGCTCAGTGCACCCAGACTCAGCTGCTTTCACCGATGAGGAGCCGCAGGGTCGATCCAAGCTCACGTACCCAACGCCGCGCTGCTCTGCGGCACCAGCCCGAGGCGGCGTCATTTGTAAAGCGCCATCTTCTTGCTCTGGTACATGTACATGTAAGCGTCACAGAAGAGGCGCTTGGCTACTCCATCCATGTCCCGAGGTTGCTCCAGGGCCAGCACAGCCAGTGGCAAGTCCAGGTATTTGGCAACTTCAGGGCACAGCGTTACCGTGGGAATGTTGAAGCCATTTTCATCACCTAACCCAGAAAGAAGGAGAAAAGTCCAAACCAGGTCGCAAGGGATGAGTACCTACAGCTCAAGCAGATACTGTCACACTCAGCAGTAATGTGGTGCCTTAGCTGAGAGGCCAACGAATGGGGAATCATAGAATGTTTTGGGTTGGAAGGGACCTTAAAGATCATCTAGTTCCACCCCCCCTGCCATGGGCAGGGACCCCTTCCACTAGACCAGGTTGCTCAAGGCCTCATCCAGCCTGGCCTTGGACACTTGCAGGGATGGGCCATCCACAGCTTCTCTGGGAACCTGTCGCAGTGCCTCACCACCCTCTCTGTGAAGAAGTTCTTCCTGATATCTAATCTAAACCTCCCTGTTTTCAATTTGTACCCATTACCCCTTGTCCTGTCACTACAGGCTCTTGTAAAAAGTCCTCTCCCAGCACCCTTGTAGCCCCCTTCAGATACTGGAAAGCTGCAATGAGGTCTCCTCGGAGCCTCCTCTTCTCCAGGCTGAACAAGCCCAATTCTTGCAGCCTTTGGGAAGGGCAGGAGAATGGTCCTCAGCCAATCCCAGGTGGCTCAACACATCCCTTGTTTGAACACAGCCACAGGATGAAAGCCCTAGGAGAAACTCACACTTGGCCTGGCCATACTCTTCTCTAGGGTCTACTTAAACGGTCACTGTTGGAAGCAGCGTCCAGGGAGAGCCTAAATCACGCAGGAGGCTTCAGGTGGACTGACCAGTGCCTACACAGTGAGCATTGCAGACCCCCCGCAGCCGCCCAGCACCCGGCTGCGATCAAAGCTCTGAGCCCAGCACCGTGTCCTCACCGTGCCTGTCAGCCATGCTGTCGAAGAACATCCAGTCTTCGTTCTCGGGGCCGTATTTCACGAAGGAGACGTAATGACTGGTCTCGATGCAGAGGACTGCGAAGAGCTCCATCTTCTCACGAGGGACCTGCTGACTGCCCCGGGGGCTCCGGCTGTGAAACTCTTCGGGGATATGCAGCCTCGTCGGTTTGTGCGTTTTGCGTCGGTAGTGGGAGTGAACCTGAGGAAAAATGATGGGGTGGCACCGCTGAGAGGGCGGAACTCAACCTGGCCTGCCAGAAGAAAGAGCGTGCAGGGGTCAGAACCCCAGTTTATTCCCCACTGATCTGACTCCCACGTTCCCTGCGTGCCAGGGAGTGGTGGTGTGTCAACAGGCTGGCAGCAAGAAACTGAGACAGAAGCCTGCTACCCTCCAAAAAAGGCCTGGAAGCTGTAGGAAAGTTGCTGGTGAGACAGCGTGGAGGGCCCAGCACTCTGTGCAGTGTTAAGAATTACTAGACTTTGCTTAAATAAGTACGTTCAGCTTAAATAAATTGGGCTTGTTCAGCGTAGAGAAGAGGAGGCGCTGGGTAGACGTGATAGCAGCCTTCCAGGACCTGAAGGGGCTACAAAGAAGCTGTGGGGGACTTTTTACAAGAGCCTGTAGTGACAGGACAAGGGGCAACGGGTTTAAATTGAAAGTGGGGAGGGTTAAATTAGATATCAGGAAGAAATTCTTCCCAGAGAGGGGGGGGAGCACTGGAACAGGTTGCCCGGAGAAGCTGTGGATGCCCCATCCCTGGAAGTGTTCAGAGCAACCTGGTCTAGTGGAACGTGTCCCTGCCCATGGCAGGGGGGTTGGACCTAGGTGGTCTTTGAGGTCCCTTCCAACCCAAACCATTCTAAGATTCCATGATTCTATTCTATAGAAAGAGCAGCACTGGAGAGTGGAAATGGGTGTGTGAAAGGAGTCGAAAGGGGTGCCCATCGACTCGCTCGCGTCACCCACTGCGAAGGGACTCTGGTCCGAGCAGGAAGGACTCGGGTGGCGAGTATGGCACTCCCAGGACAGTGTATCTGTGCTCAAGTGGTCTCTGCCTTTACAGCAGGATCAGGCCTCATTTAGGCTCTCTGTAAGCAGAGAACGTGTGGCACCTAACCCCACTCATGCAGCTGATGAGGTCAGTGGGACTGATGCGCAGGGGGCCCTCTGAGCAGCTGAAAGGATGGCAGGGGACACCTGGGTATTCTGGGGGTTTCAATTTATTGTCAGCCCCCAATGCAGGTTTTTGTGAGCAGCCAAAGAAAATGCATACCTGTCTGGAACAGGAGGCGCAGAACTGCTTCAGGCCCGAAGCTGCGAATACTTTGTCTTTGAAACACTCCGAACACTCCAGGGTGGCGACGTCGCCGCACAGGCAGCACTCCCTGGGACCTGCAGGAGCAACAGGGGTGAGAGGATGTGTTTTCTCCGGAGCTTGTCTGAAATCCAACTTACCCTGCCAAAACTCCACGCAGGGAAGAAGAATCACACCATGATCCCACCTCACAGCCCAAAGAGGGTAGAGCTGTCACCTGGTTACTCGCAGTCCCAGCTGGGACATGGCCCAACAACTTACTGTCAAGCAGCAGATCCGTTATATCCAGCTCCAAGGAAGGAATGATTTTGCTGAACATTTTATATTCCTTTCCAAAACGTGGCATTTGGATAATGAAGCAAGAAGGGATCTGGGAAAAGAAAAGCAAGTGTCACTCTGCCAGAAGGGAGAAATCCCAGAGATTCTTCTCTCCTTATTGCTGGGGGTAAAGACTTTATGCTCCCGTTATTCACAAGTGGCAACAGGGAAAGCACAGCCCTCTTCCCACGCTCCAATTTCCCAAGACCTCTCTCACATGGCTGTATCCTGCTGCTCTGCAGGGTTGGCTGTAAGACACACTAGACCCACTGCAGACTCCGTGACAGGCACAGGTATGCTGGAGGAAGCAAGAAAGAGGCAGCAGAGAGCAGAGGCGGAAGGCAGCTGGGCTCACCTCCACCAGCTTCAGATCTGAGGACAGGAAGGAGTGTTCCACTAACTGCTGCACGTCGGGAACCACCAGGTCCTCCTGTTTGTCCATAAATATCTGGTAACAGTAACAGTCCTGCTCCTTCTGGCCTCCTGACCTGCAAGGAGTGGTCACAGGGCTGGTTTGTGGCACTACGTGAACACCTGAGCTCCCAGAGGACGCACTGGTTTTGTCCTGCAGGAGCTTCTGGGCCCAAGGCACCGAGGGCTGCTTCATGCAACACGGACACAAAGCCCTTTTTCCACCCAGAAATCATAGAATGGTGTGGGTTGGAAGGGACCTTAAAGATCATACAGTTCCAACCCCCTGCCATGGGCAGGGACACCTTCCACTAGACCAGGTTGCTCCAAGCCTCATCCAGCCTGGCCTTGGACACTTCCAGGGATGGGGCATCCACAGCTTCTCTGGGCAACCCATCCCAGTCCCTCCCCACCCTCTCCGGGAAGAACTTCTTCCTGATACACAATCTAAACCTCCCCACTTTCAATTTAAACCCATTACCCCTTGTCCTGTCACTACAGGCCCTTGTAAAAAGTCCCCCCCAGCTTCCTTGTACCCCTTCAGGTACTGGAAGGCTGCAATAACATCTCCCTGGAGCTTCTCTTCTCCAGGCTGAATATTAACTATGTGCCACGAGAAGAGGATACAAGTACCATCTTCAGCCTCATTATCCCTCTATGGAGGGGTCACATCCTGCTCCTACAAGCAAAACTCAGATTTTCCCACATGGATGTGAATATTAAAAGACAATTCAGTATTTTTTTTTTAAAGCAACTGCCACGGCACAATCAGCAAACTCCTCCTGGGCTGAAAGATCCATTTATAACCGCACGTAGGAAAGCCAGAGAGCAAAATTCGCTGCATTCAGAAGGCGAGTTGTGCACAGATCTCCCACAGCCCCAACATCCCTGAGCCAGCAGAGAAAGGATTTCCTTCAGATGACCCTCCGCAGGGGAGCTGCAGTACAGAGCCACCTTTGTGCTCAGCCTTTTCGAGCGCTCCACGATCTACGGCTTGACTGACGTCTCGACAAAGGAGCACGGAAACCAAACAACCCCCTTCTATGCTCCTGAACAGCACAGTTATTTTTGGCTTCCTTCAGCCTCTCATCCTCTTTTGTAGAGTCCTGAAAACCCGGGACTGCGTCCATGGACTGACTGTTTGAGAGGCTGCAGGACCTGAGCCAGCTTGACAGTCTGGACACATCCCAAACGCATCCAAAGGCTGTCAGATACTGCTGGCTCTGCACTGAAGTTGGACACTGCATTTCTCAAACCCCTGCTAGCTGTCCCTAAGGATGAGACAAGGGTTTTTTAGCCTCATTTTCTGAAGGCGGCACCTCTGGGAAGAGTTTGGAAGTGTCTTTTCCTGGATGTGTCACCTGGGACAAGATCACAGCGGAGCGGAGCTGCACACAGCTCACTGAGCTGTTCCTCCTTGCTGAAAAGGGGCGAGTAACACCCAGTGATCGTGAGGGGGGTAACTAACGAGCCTGGCCTGGGTAAATTGGATCGTTTCGATAGGGGAAACTTACTGCAGTTTCAAGAGTGGCTCTATTCCCAGGACCTGATGCATTATGAGATTGAGGAACTCCTCGGGATCTGAAAGGTCAGAAAAAGAAAAAAAAACATGGGTCACACCACAGCAGGAACAGTGCCTTGTCCCAATGCATCCAGAGGCTGCCAGATAAACACGAGCCAGCGTTCCGTGAAGCTGGAATCGTCTCTTTTACTCTAGGTAAGGGGACACTTGGGCTAAAAGCTGAGAGCATAAATCCTAGGATGAACGTGGGAAAAAAAAGCAAGCCAGCCCTCAGCTCCTGCACTCTTACAAGCCAGAGCATCACAGCAACACCATCTCAGAGGCCTTAACGGGCAGTTGCTGCTGACACCAAGGGTATAAGCTCCAAGCGAAATCAGGGGCAGCTACGGAAATTCAGGAAACTGAACAGTTCAAGCCATCCCTGGCAAAAATAAATACACAGCAGCACAAAACACGAGTGCTGTTCACTGACATGGTACCTGCTGTTTCTGGAAGAATCACTGCATTTGTTTAGTATCCGGGCACTCAGAGGTCGCTGCAGTGGGGTTGGGCGTTGGTGTAACGTGGTTTTTTGATGTAAACTATAAGGGGCCTTGCTGTGGGTGGATGGGAACGTGGTGATTGCACCCAGAGGGTGGTGGGTTTCGGCCATAAGTGTTTTCAGTCTTCTTTTAACCAGTCTAAAGTCTTTGAGGAACCTCAAATGATTTATCAGAACTCAAAGACAAGTTAATCTTGGCAAAACGATAGATCGAGTTGGATTCTAGCAGGGACCTCAGGGATGGACTTAGGGTATAACTCCAAGTATAAAGGTCAAGGAAATTTCCCTTGTTTAAATTCTGTTCCCACAGATCATCTTTTCCCTTCCCGGCAACAGCTGCCACCAGGTAAGACACCCAGCAATTCCTATCTTTGCAGCAGCTTTCAAGACAAATTTCAGTTGAACAGCTTGTAGTTTTGAAAGCTGAAAAGTATTTAACACGTGCGTTTTCACATAAAGGAAGAGCAGAGCGGGCATATTAACGCATGTTCCTGGGAGAAGCGTACAATTAAGTTGTCAGCCCGGTGCCTGGATGAGGCGGCACGCAGCGAAGCGGCCAGGGAAGGCCCCAGAGAGCACGTTACCTTTCTCAGCGTTGGTAAAGCTTGAGCACTGGCCCTTTTCCGTCAGCTGCTCCCTAAGGTGCATCACACTGCTAGCCCTGACGAAGCCAGTCCTAGAAACAAGAAGTAGCTGCAGATGAGCTCTGCAGTGTATCTGAATCACAGAATCACGGGTTTGGGTTGGAAGGGACTTTTAAAGACCATCTGAGTGCACCCCCCGTGCCATGGGCAGGGACACCTTACATAGACCAGGTTGCTCCAAGCCTCATCCAGCCTGGCCTTGGACACTCCCAGGGATGGGGCATCCACAGCTTCTCTGGGCAACCTGGCCCACTGCCTCCTCACCGTCTGCGGGAAGAATTCCTTCCTGATATGCAATTTAAACCTCCCAACTTTCAATTTAAACCCGTTACCCCTTGTCCTGTCACTACAGGCCCTTGGAAAAAGTCCCCCCCAGCTTCCTTGTAGCCCCAAGGTCTCCCCAGAGCCTTCCCTTCTCCAGGCTCAACAACCCCAACTCTCCCAGCCTGTCCTCAGGGCAGAGGGGCTCCAGCCCTCGGAGCATCTCTGTGGCCTCCTCTGGACCTGCTCCAACAGGTCCATGTCTGTCTTGTGCTAGGGACCCCAGAGCTGGATGCAGTGCTCCAGGAGGGTCTCCCAGAGTGGAGTAGAGGGG